TCAATAGTACAATAAAGTAACAATGTTTTCAGAGAATTATTTTTAGGTGAAAAAATTTAAATTGTCAGAGTAAGAAATATACTGTGTATAAACATACTCCTGAAAAGCCTGAACTCAAGCTGTGACAAGGGAATCTACAACTGAAACAAATAAAATTTGGGAAAAGTATTCTGTAATCTGCAAATAATTTTAGAAGCAGATATTTCTGCATCAGAATGTTATAAACTAAAACACCCTCAAAACTTTTATTAACAGCATTTATTGTAATAGTGTAGCTTTCCATGACACATTAATTTTTGGCTTATTTCCTTTTTCTTTCTCAAATTCAGCTAATGAAATATATTGAGTAAATTTTGAGGTAAATTTTTAAACTCTGCTTTCTGAACTGCTCTTTGCTATTTAGTCCATCTTCTTCTGTTTTGTTATCTTCTATTTTGTTATCTTCTCTGTTTTGTTATCTTGCCCCAAATTGCCCTCTGTTTCACATTCTCCTTGATCTTGTATTTACCTGATACCTTTACTCATGTCTACTGAAATCATGTGATCCAGAATAAGTATGTTTGTGTGGGGGAGGGGCGGTTCAACTGAACTTTCTGGTGGAGCTGAATACCTCATAGAACTCGGTATACCTTCTATGGTACTCTTTTCTTCCCTCTATGTCCTTTTAAAATCTCCTATAACTATACATTTTATCTTGCCTATAAAAGGAATCTGAGGTATTTCTTCTACTGGAAAAATGTCTTATTTATATGGCTTTTCTATGTCACTACTACCTGCCTGGGTTTTATAGCTATTGTAAAAATCTCTTGGATCTTCAGTCCTGCTCCAAAATTTTCAGGTATATCAACTGAAGATGAAAAAAGAGGGCTTGTGTCTTTCTCTTTTACCTGTGTCTTTTGACAATATAACCATCCTGCTTTTCCAGCAGATTTCTGCTTCTTGTTTTTGGTGAAGAAAAAAACACTGAAGTATTAATTGGAGTTGGTTAGCTCTCATCTTTCCTATTCTGATCAATCTGACCTGAGGATGCCTTAGATGAATGCCTTTTGGAACTGCCAGAAGACTCTGAAAGGTTCCTCTTTTGTTTCTTATGCCTTTTGTGACCTCAAGAGGAAGAGGATGAGGAATAAACAGATAAGCAGAAGAAACACTGAAGAGGAAGAAGATAACTTTCTTCTTTTCTTCTTTTACTTTTTTCTCTTCTTTTAAGAGCACTTGTTTCTGTTTTCTTTGTTTTCTGCTTTTCTTCCTATTCAACTTTTTCTCTACATATATTTATGAAGTTTCTGCAAAGCGTCCTCTGTATCTTTAAAATCTCATCCAAAGCCAAAACTTTCTTATAGTAACTTTCAGAATTTAAAAAGTTTTCTTCTTCTAACTGCCCTCCTCCTTCTACAAGTAGTTGGCAGAGGTATTTTCTTGCATTCCTGTGAGTTGGGCAGTTGTCTAATGCAAGCTTAAAATCTTCTGGACTTTTTTAGATTTCCTTTTGTCATGTATAATGTTCCTTGAGCTACCAAACCTTCCACATTTTGCTTATCTATTTCCGGAGCTTTATTGTATCCATTCATAGCATCCACATGGCATTAAACCTTAAGATAGTTAACTCCAGTATTCACACATATTAAAGCCTAAATGCAGACAAATTTTTTCTTAATGCAGGAGCAAAATCATCTTCAGAGAAATTTTTGCTTTATAGACTTCTCATTAAAGATGGTGTATTAGATTCATCTATTCCTGGTTTTCCCAGAAGGAATTCAACTAATTCTGGATTAACAAATCCCAGGGATCTCTGTATAATATTTTCATAGGAATCTAGAGAATTACTATTTAGTTCAACACTCCTCCTATATTACAAAGGAAGTTCTTCAGAAGTAATTACACCTAGTTTAATAACCAGATAGGTGTGGCGAAAGAGATGAGCTATAAAGAGACACTGCTAGTTTTTCATGAAATCTGCCAAAATCCTTGATTCCATTTTGAATAATGTCACCAGTTTGGTAATATGATAAAGGATCCCCATGGTGACTGTGAAAAGGCATATCTCTTAATGGAAAAATAACTGTGATTTCTAAGTGGGATATGTCTCTTGTGATGCCACTTCCTAAACAGATTAATACAATGAAAAAACAAAATTCCCAAAGTAGAATTAATTCTTTCAATCACTATATCACCATTTTCAATATCTTGGAAAAACAGCTCATTCCCCTCCACATTAAATATTCCCATGACTTGCTTTAAAGGTGGGATGACTGCATAATGATCTACATTGTCTTCATTAACTTTAGAAGTTGTAGGTACATCTGATTTCTAGGAAAGTGCAAAAAGTTAATCTGCTTTTTTGGAGATGAATTTTTGTATCTCAATATTGTTAATTAACTCTATTCTCTTTTCTGCCATGTAAATGCTACTTGGACAGCAGCCTCCAGCAGGCTCTGATACCCAGCATAGAAGGCTCTAGAAGTACTGATTGTCCTGCTATTCATTCTGGTGTAGCAAGGACAGCAATGACCACAGGTGGTAATTTAGCAACTGCCCCCAAATGGTCCCCATCCATGACTAGAGATTGTTGCCTACTAGAACTTGATTCCGTGTCCACCACTTGAATCAGTGGTCAAGAAGGTTGAGGCACCAGCCTGGAAGCTGCCCCAAATGAACAGCACTTACATAGATGCTTCCTGTAGGATAAATATTTTTATTTTAAAATGTTAATATTTTAAAATGTGCTGGTAGAAAAAAAATAAAATAAAATAAAATGTGCTGGAAGTTCCATCTTTAGCAACTCCTTACATTTAGAATTTTAAAATTTAGGTGTCAACTTAAAATGTATGAAGTTATATATGGCTTTTCAGATTATTTTGGGATGTTTGCGGGAAGAAAGCTCAAAACCTATTAGGCTATTCTTAAGGCCTGATTTGTTCTCATTTCTTTCTTGAATATTTCCTTATCTCCATATCTAGATTATGAGTTCTTTTTGTGTCAGAATTATTTCCAGGTGCTTGTATTTTGCCCAAGATTCAGGAAGAGGAAAAGGTAAATAAAGGAAGCAACCCCAAAGAAGTCAGGAGTTGACTTAAACAAAATTCATACCCTGGCAGTTCAAGCTCAAGGATTTTATGAGCATTGTAGATATTACTCAGTTCTGTTCTTTGGTCAGAAAGGTTTCCCCATCCCAAAATATAAATCCTTCTTACCCCCTGCCTTCCACTGATGCATGGAATCCCTTCAAATGGTGACACAAATTTTCAGACTGCATCTATTCAAAATGCATATATCCTTAGAAGAAGTAACATTGACCTAAAATCAAATTAAATTATATTGTTTCCTAAGAGCAAGTTTTTGTAAAAAAAAAAGTATGAGAAGAACCAAGAGGTTACTTGTCTGGGGTTTACATGTTAGCTTCTTAAGTTTACTGCAAACCATACCAAACATCTTTTCTTTACTGAAATGATCCTGAAGGATGATTAGGCAGAACTTTTTGATTCTGAAATGATCAACCATATCAAAGTCCTCATTTCTGGGAAAACATGATTCTTAAGTAGAGAAGCTCTGTGGTGGACTGAGAAATGAAGGTAATGTCTAAGGGTAACCCTGCTAATCCTCCAGTTTGCAGATTACACAAATTAAAACTCAGCAGTCACAACTGGACCTTCCATTGGGTAAATGAATGAATTAAACACTTCCTTTCCTATGGTTGGAGCTAAAGAGATCACCATGTTAAGTGAAGTAAGCCAGACTCCGAAAGTCAAGGGATATATGTTTTCCCTCATATGTGGAAGCTAGAGAGAAAAAAAGAAAAAAAAGAATCTTATAAAAATAGAAGGATGATCAGTAGGGTAAAGGAAAGAAAACAGGAGGAGGAATGAGGGCAAGGGAAGGTACAGGGTGGATTAAATTGACCAAATTATGTTACATGCACATACAAATATACCACAATGAAACCCACCATTTTTAGGGAAGAGAGGTGGGAGGGAAAAAGAGGGAGAAGGGGAGTTGCACGGAAGATGGAAGGAGAACCTCATCGTTATACGGAATACATGTATGAGGTTGTGATGAGAAAAAGAAAAAAAAAAGTGTCTCACATTAGATTGGATAGAGAGAAATGATGGGGGGGAAGGAGTAGGGGGGATAGGAAGGGCAGCAGAATAGAATAGACATTATGATTGCTATATATATATAGGTGACTCTATGACCAGTGTGATTCTGCAATCTGTACAGTTAGAAAAATGAGAAATTATACCCCAATGATTCAAATGTATGAATTGCCAAGATCATTGTAATGTCATGTGTAGCTAATAAAAAAAAAGAAACCCACCATTTGTATAATTATTGTGTACCAATGAAAATTTTTTAAAGTTAATACAAAAATCAATGGTCTTTTCAATTATTTGAATCCTTGCTAGAAGCAGAACCACAAATCTAAAATCTAAATTTTATTTAATCTTTTGAATATGTTCCTTAATTTACAGATTAATAAATCAGAATTATTTTCTAGATGATATAAAATAGTAGATTGAAAGCAGTGGAACGGTGCAACACAAGGACTGAATGAATGCACTCTAATGTAAACTATGGACTTGAGTTAATAATATTGTATCAATATTGCCCCATCAAATATAACAACTATGCCATACTGATGTAAAAATATTATTAACAGAGGAGAAAATGAGCTGGAAGAAAGGGAGTATGTGGAAACTCTCAATTCTATAAACTTAAAACTGTTCTGAAAAATAAAGGTTATTTATTTAAATAACTATATAACTCTCTCTTTCCTATATCTGATAAATCTACACAAAACCTTTGTGGCTAAAAGTTTTCCTTCATTTGGCATAGGTAAGATTTTAGTGCATAGTAGGCATTCAGTACCTATTGGTCAGATGAACAGATTTTTCAGGAAAGAAACTACTGAGGAGTAATTGATAAGGAAGTTAGACTGCCAATTAATCTGAAACTTGGGTCACTGAAAATTTGTGTCTTTTATTGATTTTTTTTTCCTGCAGCAAGTAAAAGGGAACTTTGTTAGGTTGAAGGCTTGCATTTCAGAGCTTCGCATGATAGAGACAGAAGGTTGTTTCCGACCACAAAGCACTTCTCTACAGCTGGCAATACAGGATGGACTCCAGCAATTCAAACAATACAGCAGATATGTGACCACAGGTGCTGCTCTGCCCTACACTTCCCTGGAGGTAAGAGATGCTGGCCTTTAAGACTCAAAGCCATCCTCCCATTTTGGTCTAGATAGGTGTTTCATTATTTATAATCCTTAATCCTTGTATTGTTCTCTGTTTCATATACATTGAATGTAATTTTTCCTTTTTTTTATGTACTAGGAGCACTTAACTACTGAGTCACACCCCTAGCCCGTTTTTAAATTTTTTTTTTTTTTTTTTGAGACAGGTTCTTGCTAAGTTGCTTAAGGCCTTGCTAAGTTTCTGAGGCTGGCTTTGAACTTACGATCCTCCTGCCTCAGTTTCCCAAGCCACTGGGATTGGAAGTATGGGTCACTACATCCAGTGAATATAATTTTCAAGGCTAGATTTTCAGCTCCCTGCAAACAGAAGACATATATCATATATGATTTTTAATATGCAGATTGTCAAAAATGGAAGATCAAAAATAGGAACTAAAGTGAATTAAGGAAAAACTGAATCAAAATAAAATCTGAATATTCCATATGCCTCAGATTTTTGAAACTTCCAAATATTAAGCTTCCTAGATTGACATATATAATTACCTGAGTACCCTTAGGAACTGAAATAGTTCTTAATCAAATATTATCATCAAATGAAGTAAAGTTTCTTGAGATAAGCAATTATGCAAATGTAAAACATCTACTATTCTGGTGCCAGATTGAAATAATCTTAAAAATATAAATAAGTCATGGCTGAATATTCCATGGATATATAAGGGAGATGAATTAAACACTTTCAGCCTTTGGTAACCTCGGACAGCAAACAGATGCATTAAAAAATAATTGCAGAGACTTCTGGTTTCCAGTTTTACATGTAAGGAACTTGGAAGTCACCACTTCATCCTAACAACTAGCAAAATGTTAAACAAACTCAAAGGTTAACAACTTTATTTGGATCCCTAAGAGAAGTTAAGATCACAAAGCAAACAAACTACTGCCTCCAAAATTAGACACAGACAGATACAGAAAATCACAACACACTAGATGAGAAATCTCCACTGGAACCAGAGCTGGAGTAGGAAAACTTGAACTTTAATTGACGAATTGCTGGAGGATAAATATGGACAAGTCTGAAAGTTAAAAACTCCCAAGACACCCTGTCATGAGAGCTGGCCCACAATTTTGTGAGTTTTGCCTTCAGAAGTACAACCAGACTCTCATAGTAAATATCAGGGGGAAATTCCCTCATACCTCAGACTGGAGAGGAAGAGTGTTCTGTTCTTTTTAACAAGTTGTGCCCTCAGGAGAAACAAGTTCAACAGAACCCAACCTGCTGGGATTTTATCAGAGCTTAACTGATAGGGAGGATAAGAAATACCAAACTCTTTTTTTTTTTTTGGAAAACAGTTTGATGGCTCCTTACAAAACTAAACACACTCTTGGATTGTCAGCCAACAATTGTGCTTCTTGATATTTACCCAAAGGAGTTAAAAATATGTGTCCACACAAAACTCTGCACATGGGTGTTTATAATAGCTTCATTTGTAACTGCCAAACTTGGAAGCAATCAAATGTCCAGCAGTAGATGAATGTTTAATAAAACTGTTGTTCATCCAGACAATGAGATATTATTCACTGCTAAAAACCAATGAGCTATCAAGCCAAAACAGACATGATAGAACCTTAAATACATATTACTAAGTGAAAGAAGCCAATCTGAAAAGGCTATATAATTTATTATTCCAACTATATGTCATTCTGGGAAAGGCAAAATTATTGAAATAGTGAAAGGTTGGTAGTTGGCAAGGGCCATGGGGAGGGAGGAATGAATAAGTGGAGCATAGAAGATTTTAAGAGCAATGAAAATACCTGTATAACATTATGTTGATGGGTGCATATAGTTGTACATTTGTCAAATCCATAGAATGTACCACACAAAAAGTGAGCCCCAAGGTAAACTATGGACTTGGATGATTATGATGATTATGATGTATCTATGTAGGTTTATCAATTGCAACAAATACACACTCTGGTGGAGGATATTGATCATGGATATTGCATGTTTGAGGGCAGAGGGTATTTAGGATATCACTTGCTATCTCAATTTTGCTCTGAACCTAAAACTTATCTAAAATAATAAAGTTTTTGAAAATAATAATTATTGTGGATTTCATAGGCATCCTACTTCATCAATCAAAAACATCTAAATATGGGCTGGGGATGTGGCTCAAGCAGTAAAGCGCTCGCCTGGCATGCATGAGGCACTTGGTTCGATCCTCAGCACCACATAAAAATAAAATAAAGATGTTGTGTCCACCGAAAACTGAAAAATAAATATTAAAAAATTCTCTCTCAAAAAAAACATCTAAATATTTTTAAAAATGCATATATTTAACAATTGCCGGGCACAGTGGCACACACCTGTAATCCCAGCAGCTCGAGAGGCTGAGGCAGGAGGATCAAGAGCTCAAAGCCAGCCTCAGCAAAAGTGAGGCACTAAGCAACTCAGTGAGACTCTGTCTCTAAATAAAATACAAAATAGGGCTGGGGATGTGGCTCAGTGGTCGAGTGTCCCTGAGTTCAATCCCTGATACTATATAATTTTATGTAGGAATTTGTGTTTGGCAAGTGAAATTTAATGGAACAATAGAATTTAATGGAACATTTATATATATATATATATATATATATATATATATATATATATACATACTTTTTTTAAACAATTGCCTTCAAGTTTCAAAATCCAAGACAAAACTTATGAGAAAAACATACAGTGTGTTCATTTAGATGGAATAAAATATTATACACAAACACCTCAATATTCCTTTAGGTCCCATATATTGGTCAAAGATTAGCACATTTTAGAGTAAAAAAAAAGCAACAGAAATACCTTAACTGGATCCAAGATAAACAAGGGAAGAATCAGTCTAAGAATGCTGTAAGGAAGCACTATAGAAAGAAGGAACAACAGGCTTCCTAATATTTAATGCACACTAGTGAGTGAAACTTAAGGATCTTATTTCCTTTGTTTTTATGTAAAAATTAAAGCATTTTGAACAAATGATATGATACCAGTGCTTCAAGCAATCTTAAAAGATTAAAACACAGGTGTTGCTTTTAACTGGTCACTTTGTAGGCTCAGCCTGATTGGAAGGTTCTGATTACCTATTCTACCACAATCTGCCAAATGAAATTGGTCTGTATCACTTCATGGCCTTTTGGCTAAGATTAAGTGAAATTTTATTTGTAAGTTACAGTTAAATCATCCTCTTTACACTAAACATAATAGCCATTACCATAGACTTCTGCTGTGATATTCCTCACTCTGGACCTCTAGGAAAATAAACATGTTGATTCTTGGATTTTATTTTCAGATTACTGTCCTGACTTCCCACCCTGGAAAAGAAGTGGTCAAACAACTGGAGGAAGGGTTGAAAGATATAGATCTGGTCAGGGTCAGAAGGCTTCAAGTTGTTGAAATCACAAAGGGAATCCTGGAGCTCATGGACTCAGCATCTCCAGTTGAAGAGCCCAGCAATGATGGTAAGGGGGATTTTTTGGTTTTTGTTTTTGTTCCAAGATGGCATCTCATTATGTTATCCAGGTTAACCTCAAATTCACAATCCTCCTTGCTGAAAGAATTTTTTTTGAAGTTAAAAGAATGATAATATCTGTAATGAGTAGTTTTTATGGGTCAATAAAATTGTTTTCCATGATCTTCTTATGTTCTTAAGTGATAAATTAACCAGCAGATTCCACTGCAGTTCAGATGATTTAGGTGTTAAATTTTGTAATAGTTATTTTATTTCAGAAATAATAGTTAAATTTTGTAATAGTTATTTTATTTCAGAAATAATAGTTAAAGCTGAAGTATTATAAGTCTAAAAAATAAAACTTACTTCATCCCCCTAATCACTTTTAAGATATTGTGGAATCCTTACAAATGTTCCTTTCTATATACATACACACACTTATCCATACATACTTAATATTTTAATGGGATCATGATATACCTAATATTCTATAAATTCTTTATGTATGTTAGATAGCTATCAGTATTATAACTCTATCTCATTTTGAGACTTCTTGATTTATTATTGTGTGGCTGTACCATAGTTTGTTTAATGACATTAATTTTGCTGTTATAATTAATGCTGCATGAACAGATTTACATGTAAGGATGGCTGCATAAGCTAATGACCAATGCAGTCACACAGACTCCTGTATGCAGAAAGGCCCCATGCTTGGGGTTTAATGCTTTTTGGCTGCTGTCTTGAAATTCTTAGTAATTTTATGTAGGAATTTGTGTTTGGCAAGTGAAATTTAATGGAACAATGGAGCATATGCCAGGCCTGGGAGCATTGACTCACATATGCCCTGCCTCCTTCCCACCTCCTCAGAATGGGTTCTCATTTGCCATCTCACCAGCCTCAGAGACTCTGCCCTTCCTACCCCTGTCCAACAACCACTGTTAGCCTCTGTTCCCCTGCTAGACCAAGTCCTGGACAATTCAATCAGGGTGAAGCAAAAATGCCTTTTGTGCTGAGTTGCAAGACCAGGGCCCAGGCACCTGTGAGAGTCTATACTTCTGGATAAAATTGTTTTCCATGATCTTCTTATGTTCTTAAGTGATAAATTAACCAGCAGGACCTGAATGTGTCAGTCAGCTTGTTGTCACTACGACCAAAATACTTGACAAGAACAACTTAGAGGAGGAGAAGTTTATTCTGGCTCATAGTTTCAGAGGTTTAGTTCATGTTCAGCCAAGTCCATTGCTCTGGGCCCAAGGTAAGGCAGAACATCATGGCAGAAGAGTATGGCAGAAGAGTCACCTCCTGGTGGCCAGGAAGCAGGGCAGGAAGAGGGATTGGGCTGGGGAAAATGAACCCTCCAGAGCATGCCCCCAATGACCCACTTCCTCTAGTGCCTCACCTGCCTACAGTTACCACCCAGTTACTCCATTCACACTAAGATGGACTGATTAGGTTACAAAACTCATGATCTAATCATTGCACCTCTGCTATAACTTGAGTGATAGATGAATCTAAACTGGTTAAAAAAGAAACTCTTAAACTTCATAATTTGGTAATTCCACTTGACTTACTAAAATGATTTCATAAGGGGCTAGGAATATTGCTCAGTTGGTAGAGTGCTTGCTTCTCGTGCACAAGGCCCTGGGTTCAATTTCCATCACCACACACACACAAAAATCATTTCATAAATTTCCTTTGCCTTAGAATTAAATCCAGCAAGGCATTAATGGTCTTTCCTCACCTAATCCTTGGCCTCGATTTACAGCTTTTCTCCCACCTCTGTCTGACAAGTCCTGGTAATGGGAAACCATGAGTTCATCTCTGAAAGTTAATTATATCTTACTTTCTCACATCTCTGAGTCTCCTTTCCCAGTGGCCCTTTCCTCCTCCTCTGCTTGGCTAATTCCCACTTGTCCTCTAAGACTCAGTTTGAATAAAATTTCTTCCAGGAAATGTAGGATTATAGATTATTTAGATGTACTTATTTATACTTATCTGCATTTTCCCCTCCAAAGTAATCCTGGGAGAAATTCAAGAATAACAGTATAATGTTAAAATCAAATGATTTCCTTTTGCCCATTAGACTAGCAAAGATAAAAAATAAACAAGAAAAATGTCTGGTTGGGAGTCTCATTTACTATTGATGGAAGTGTAAATTGATATGATTTTTTTGGAGAGTCATTTGGCAGTAACCATATATATATGTGTGTGTGTGTGTATATATATACACACATACACCTATATGTTTGGCAATAACTATATATAAACATAAATATGTATATGTATATATCTAAATATAAATATATATATATAAGTATATATACACACAAAGTTTTACCTCCTAATAACATTTCTAGGAATTTATCCTACAGATAATGTTTGTATACTCAAAGAGTTATATACTCAAAGAGAAGGTGACATAATTTGTGAGTCCAGAGCAAAGCCAACATGCAGAGCCCCTTCTTTCAAAAAATAGATAAAAGACCATTGAACCAAATGTGGTGGCACAGGCCTGTAATCCCAGGGGCTTGGAAGGCTGTGGAGCCAGCCTCAACAATTATCGAGGCCCTAAGAAACTTAGCAAGACCCTGTTTCAAAAAAAAGACTGAGGATGTGGCTCAGTGTTTAAGTGCCCCGGGTTCTATCCCTGGTACAAAACAAATAAACACAACCCATTTTAAAAAACCATTTTTGTATGTACTAACATATAAAAAATTTTCTCCCATGGACTCTTTGTGGAGTAATATGGTGGGTCTCCTGTTGTGTGTGAGTGTGTGTGTGTGTGTGTGTGTGTGTGACTGTGTTGTGTGTGTGTGTGTTTAATTGTGATAAGAACACTTTACATGTGATCTACTCTTGTAAAAAGTTTTAAGTATAGAGTATTGTAAACTATAGGCATAATAATGTTGTATAGTAGTTCTCTAGAAGTTAATTGTTTATTTATCATGTTCTGGTGTTTTTTTTCTTTTAAATTTGCTAGTAATATAACATTCCCTCAATGTTATTGTGTGGATATGAGATGTTCCCCAAAAGCTTACCCTCCTACAATCCTTTCTGGCTAAATGGCCCCTTCCAAGGTTGTGACACATGGAAGTGCCTGTTCTTTTGATACTATTATTGATCTCTTCCTTGTCCCACAAGAATAACTTCACTCTTTCTCCCCCCTCACTTGTTCCCTCCTTAATTAATTAGGAAGTTGGTAACTAAGGGTGTGGTTTCTCTGTCAAATTCTGACATATATGGATGTTTATTGCAACATGAGGCCTCTGACATTGTTTTGGAGGGTAACCAACCTTAGCCATGTGGTTTGTGAGCTCTCACCTATTATTCATACTCTGCTTTCCCAAGCTAGACTCCTCATTAACTATCCTTCTTTGTGTTCCCATACCTCTACTCCTAGTAGTCTTTTCTCTGAATTCCTTCCCCTGTCCTCTTCTAGCCAAATCCTCCCACTTAAATCCTAATTCAGTTTCATTACTACCATATTAATTTTCCTCTCCTTAGAATAACTATTATCACTTGTGGTCTGTACCACACAATTCAGCACTTAATTATATACCATCCATAATTGTCTACCATTGCTTTTTTGTGTGTGTGATAATTTTGTCTGTTCACCTGACTTGTGAACTACTTGCTATCTTTTCAATCTGCATTAAAGTGTAAGAACCTTGGAATTAGAAACTTGTTTTACCAATTTCTGTGTCACAGTGTAGAGGATATTCTAGATTATCAGAAAGTATTTTTTAATTAATTGATTACAGTTATATGTGTGGGGCTATTTGGCTCAGCATCCCCCACATCCCCTTACTTTGGTAACACTTCCATCTTCCTAGTTAGAGTGGACCATGACTCAGACTGAAGCAATCATAGTTCTCCAGGACATTAATCAGAGTCCTTTGCATTGAATTCCCCAAACTAAATCTTGTTAGAGTCTGTAAACAAGTCAAAATAACACCTGGCATTTTGCCAGGGGAATGTTAGAGTTCGTAAACAAGTCTGGATGGTGCCTGGCAAAATGCCAGAGGGAGTGGTTTGAGAAGTAACAAAAGCGAGCCATTAAGTGTGGAGATTCCTTATTGGTTGACTGATGTATCTAGTTTATGCTAATTAGATAAGCTGTGTGGAAAGTATAAATACTGCTCCTGTCCTGCAATAAACGGCTCCTACTCCTGCTGTATCAACGTACACAAGTTGTTCGTCACCACCCCCACCCCCCCCCCCCCCCCCCGTTATTCTGCTTCTGCTGCAGCCCGGCTGCAGCAAAATCTGAGAAGCTGTTTTTCTTTCTCTTTGGTCAAGGACAGATAAGTCATCAATTTAGAAAGAACTTGTGTCTATAATAGCATAGAGCTCAGAGTACTCTGAGGCTGCATGAAGTCTTTATTTAGAATAGTTAGTGGCTTGTGCTTATAGAAGAGCTTATAAATGCAGGAAAACCCCTTTTATCTTGTTTTACTGGTATTCTCCCAGTATCTTCCTATTTGCTTCTAAATAATTTATTATCCCATAAATTGCTTTAATCCCTCTGTGGACCAGATATATATATATATGCCTCATTGCTTGAAATATCCCTAGTTTATCTGCACTCTACTTATAATTAATTCCTTTATTTCTTTAGTTTCCTTTTGATTCATTTTGGCATCATCAGGATATTTTCAACAGCAGCTTCTCTCATTCTCAGAAGGATGTATGCTCCAGAAATAGGTTGCCTAAGTCTAATTCACAGGTATATCACTTCCTAACTGCACAACTTTGAGTAAGGTATTTAGCCTTGTTAAATCTTAGTTATTAATTCCTAACCCATGTAGTAGTTGTTGTAATTAAATGAAATCATGTATGTTAATTACCTAGAACATTATAAGTAGTCAGTAAAAAGTTAGTTATTCTTAATACTCATGAAAATTTTCTGAGACTTTTTTAATATTTAATTTTTTTAGTTATAGTTGGACACAATACCTTTGTTTTTATTTATTTATTTTTATGTGATGCTGAGAATTGAACCCAGAGCCT